ACCCTAAATATTACCTATTCCTTAGATCAGGGGTCTGCAGACTTTTTCTTTCTGTAAAGGACTTTTAGGCCATCTGGCCTCTGTCACTTTGCCATTGTAGCTAGAAAGCAGTCGTAGAAAACAACAAATGAGCTTGCTGTGTTCCAGTAAAACTATTTACAGAGGGGGCAGCAAGCTGGTTGTGGCTTATGGGCCATAGTTTGCTGACCCCTGTCTTAGATTGCTGTAGCTTTCTTACCTTTTTTTCCTCCTTCAGTCAAATCTTGAAATATTTACTAAATGTGTTCTTGGTGTGTTTGAAAATATTTGAACACAAGGTCCCTGTACTCCATCTCAGTACTTGGTTTCCCTGGTTTTATTTATATGAAGTTATGTGTGTTTCCTGCCCTGAGCTCACTGGAATCGTGCAGCAAATCTGGATCAGAGGAACGTTGGCAACTGTTGATGCCTTTCATGTTAGAAGGCAAACTAGAAAAGCAGTCACCTGGGGTTACAGCAGCTGACTAGATCACACAGCTCCCTGATGTCTCCTGTTTAATGCCATTTGGGCTCCAGTTTCTTTCTCATTATCACTGGAACTCACTGGTGAAGGTGAACTGGGTAATCTTTTGCTCCAATTCTTTTTTTTTTTGGCTTGTAGATCAATTCTAGGTTTGACTAATCTGTACCAAGATCATGATTGACCTTGGGAACTACACAGAGCTAGGGAACAAACCAGTGTGTTCCTCAAGTTCCCTGGGAGTGAAGAAACTGAAGTAACCACATTCAGTCCTCTTTACAGATGGTGCCATAATTTACTTGTGCACTTGCTCCTGAGGATGTGGTATATGGTTGAGAGGCTAGGAACTGACTGGGCTCTAAAATAGTACCTTGGTGAAAGAATCATCACTCTCTATCCTTTACAAGGTGTTAGTGAGGTCTGCCTCATGAAGGGAAGGGTTAAGTGCTTCATAGCGCTTTAGGCCCTTTGTAAGTTCTTTCTTTTTCATTAGTATGCAGATGAGGATTTTTTTTCCATCTGTAACTTGAATTTTGAAATCAGTAGTGTTAGGACTAAGTTATTACTGCACTCACTGATTAGTACATTCCTTTGTGTCTTAAAATTGTAACATTTCTGGGGCAAGCATTCAGTTTTGCTTTCTTTGTCTTTGAAGTAGTACACCAAGCTTCAAACCTATATGCATCCCCTGGTCTGGCCTTGGGGAGTTCTCCTTCAGAGTGTTGTTGCTTAACAGGAAGAGGAGCACAAATAATGGTGTTATGTCTGACTTGGAGAAAGAACTGGACTTAATGGAGCACCATGTTCCTAGACTGCCCCATCCCCTCCTGCACTCAGCCCCAGGCTCGACAGCTACCCTTTCTTCCACCCTGTTGGAGCTCGAGGGCCTCATGTGTCCTAAAGGATAGTCATGTTGCCTTTGGGACTTGTCTGTTCTTGACCCCCAAGAGTCCCCATGTGCTTTGAATATTTTGGAAGAAAGAACCCATAGGGTATTATACATAGGGTATTTAATTTTAATAAGGTCTTCCTCAAAGTATTTGTACTTCAAGGCAGCTTTGTGCAGGTTAATTAGCCTATTAACCACTTACAACTTTCTTCTTTTATCCATTTAAAAATCAGAATCGTTTCAGAGTCATAACACAGCTTTTTTTTTCCCACCCTGTGGTGTTTGGACTTCTCTGCCAAGAACCTAAGCAACTGTAAAAAAGGATTTTGGATTCTGGAAGATGGTGTGCTTTTCCTGAGCCCTTCTCTGTAGGGTAGAACCAAGAGAGTGTATACATCAGAGATGTTGTGTGATGTCAGACTCTGATGTTGTCCAAAGGACTAATTTGCACTTCATTCGTCCCCCCAGTAACATCTTGCCGTATGGGAGCCCCAACTCATTTCTCCTTTCGAACTCTGAAGGAAGAAAGGCCTGAGGGCAGGTCAGCAGGTTTTGCCCTGTTTGTGGAGAAGCTAGTGTGGTTTTGTGTCGCTGATTAACAGCAAGGCGGTGGGTGGTCCACACTTCTACCTGCCCGTCACTGAGGGCTCTTTGGGATGTGATTTGAGACAACACTTTGAATGCTTAAGAATAATGGCAATCTTATAGTAAAAGAGAGGTGTTTAAACCTAGATTTCGGTATCAAGTAGAATGGTGGGCTTAAGGATGTATCCTGAAGAACCATCTTTTACAAAACACCTAGAAAAGCTGGATAAAACATAACAAACATTCTTTTCTTTTCACTTTTTAATTTAGATATGAAATCATTTGGTAGAACGTACCAATCCTAAGTATATAGCTCAGTGAGTTTACATGTATATATACCTATGTGACAACCACCCAGATGAAAGTATAGAACATTTTCAGCACTCCAGAATGTTCCCTCATGTCCCTTGGGTGTGTTTTTAATATCAGTAAAATGATGGATTCAGATATGACAGCTGGGATGTCATTAAACCAGCTTCTTGAAAGAAACTGGCCCCTTCATCCCCATCTGGAGGAGAATCTAACATAAGTGGCAATTTAGATTTTTGACATGAGCAAACACATCCCCGCAAATGTTTCTTCTTTCTTAAGGTCAGGGACTTGTTATTATTCTGGGTCCAGCTACCTGAATAGCACTTTAGTATGACATGAGTGTTTTAACAGATAGTACAAATAAATAACAAAAACGGCAGTGGGAGTGCTGCACTTGATATAATTTACTGTATCATAGCAAGGGGCTAGCAGCACACGGGCAATTATTCCAGTAACATGTTGTGTGTGTGTGTGAAGAGTGGGGAGTCAAAGGTAGTTGACAGTTCAGAAACAAGGAAAATTCACTAAGGAATAGTCACATTATGGAGCTTATGTAGAGGCTAACTTCTTGCAACACTGCAAGAATTTTATTTTATTATTATTATTTTTCATATTCTTTCCCTCGCACTTTTTAAAAAAAAAATATTTGGCTGCATTGGGTCTCAGTTGCAGCACTCGGGCTCTTTCGTTGCGGCACGTGGGGTCTTAATTGCGGCGTGGGGGCTTCTCTCTAGTTGTGGCCTGCGGGCTCAGTAGTTGTGGCGCGCGGGCCTAGTTGCCCTGCGGCATATGGGATCTTAGTTCCCCAATCAGCGATCGAACCCGCATCCCTTGCGCTGAAGGCGGATTCTTAACCACCGGACCACCAGGGAAGTCCCAAGGATTTTAAAAAGAAGAGAACAAGTGAGATAGTCTGAGAACTAGAATTGGGGATATAGGAAGAAATCTTTTAGATTGTGTTTACTACCAAGGAAATTTTCACTTGATGTTCCGGGCTTCCTCTCTTCAAAGACTGTTTGAAAATTTTTGCTTGTCATAGTTGGCCTGCTTAGATGTCAGGAACTGAATTGGAAGATTGCTGGGAATAAACAGAACCCTGGTGCTAGCAGCCTATGGGAACTGGATCTGTTTGGAAAGATGTACATGCAATATCATTTTTCCCTCTCCTCCCATGACACCATTAGCCTTCACTATCAACAGATCAAGCTGCTTTTTCTCACACTTGTGTCTTATCCCTTGTCTCTCTAATATCCGATGGTTTCTGTCTTCCTTTTCTCAGCATCCTATGACCCCCACAACCACTTTAGGCCTCTGCGGTTTTCAGATAATTCTTTAGGAGATTGTAGACTGGCCAGTAGGCAACCTGTTTCCTCTGTGAGTGAGATCAAGCTGGTTTTAGAGAAGGCCCCGGCCTAGACTTGGGTTGGCTTTGGCCAGTAGTTGGCCTGCATTCTTAGGGAAGGAACCCCCAGGGCTGTGGGAGCATAATTTGAACGTTCTTGGTATAGCAGAAAGAAGATAAATGGGCTTGGGAGCCAGGTATTTCTGGCCTCAAATCTCAGCCCTGTCATTGGCTTTGTGACCTCAGGTATAATATGTAATTGCTCTGAACCTCAGTTTCTCATACGTAAAAGGAAAACAATTCCTGTCTTATAGGGGTATAATGATTATTAGAAAATAATTTATATAAAATGCTCTCTATAGTACTTTATGAAAGTTAAATATGTAGTAGTATTAATTTAATAAAACCAAATGAACAGTAATGTTTAGAAACAACTTGCCTGCTCAAAACTCAGATATTCATAATTAAAGGATGGTCATAAAGTTCTTTAGTCCAGTGACATTTGGGGACTTACCTCACCATTGTTAAATACTTTGCTACAGGATGAATCCATTCATCAGACTGACCTTGTCTTAAGATTCATAATAAGATAGAGGTATATCCTAGATTGTCAAAAATATCTGATGTTGCAACAGGAAGCTTTTTGTAACAGCAAAAATGTGATGTCCCCTTATTGTTAATGGACAAGTACCAAGTGGCATTGAGGGAGCAACAAGGTCTGTCAGTACATGGTGGGGTGGGAGTGGGGGGACTGGCAGGCAGTGGCCTGCCAAGTAAAACTTGCTGAAGAAGGTGGGGTCTTTCAGGGAGCTGATGGAATTCGGAGTCTTGGCCTGTACCTGCTCAAGTGGGAAAAGCCTTGCCTTGGCAGGAAGGTGATGAGAACACTTCATTTTCTGGGACCAAACGAAGTATGCTTCCCATGATTGCCTTCTGCTCTACAAGCAGCAGCAGGCCAGGATATGTGTACGAGAGTGGGCTGGGGGTTTGTGCTGCTATATGCCAGGGATAGGAGGGCCAGTATGGGTCAGGCAGGAAGCTAAGAGTCGTGGGTACAAAGATAAGAAATACTAGATCATTCTAGGTAGGGTTGCTCCTCCAGAGACAGTTGAGATTTCTAATCATGTTTTAGGATCCCTTCTATCTTCTGTACTCTGTGTTTTTCTGCACTGCTAAAATCACTTCTTCCTCCTGCCTGCATTAACCACAAGTAATCGGTCTGGTGGCTGGGGCTTGGGAGGCAGCGAATAGCCATTTCTGTGATATCAGCCCTAGAGCAATCACGTGGGCAGGGTATGGCTAACCAGGAATGGAGTTTTTCAGCTTGCATTCGTAACTGGAAATAAAGTGTTGTCCTTATTCTCCTCCTGCAGGTCGGTGAGCTGGTAAAGGTTACGAAGATTAATGTGAGTGGTCAGTGGGAAGGGGAGTGTAATGGCAAACGAGGTCACTTCCCATTCACACATGTCCGTCTGCTGGATCAACAGAATCCCGATGAGGACTTCAGCTGAGTATAGCTCAACAAACAGTTTTGCTCACAGATGGGAACAATCTTTTTTTTTTTTTTTCCAATTGCCATCTATACAATTTTCTTACAGATGTCAAAGCAGTCTAGTTTATATAAGCGTTCTGTTACCTGTGATCTCTTTTAGACTGAACTACTCCATCCCTAGTCTTATTTACCATATTCAGGGTACGAAACTGGAGGGCTAGTGTGTTAACTTTTGAATTGGCAATTTTAGATGGTAGCAACGTTGCCTGAGTGTATCTGAAGGGATAGGTATCTTGCCTTCTTTCTCTCAGGCAATACAAATCAACCTGTGGAAAACTGATGGACAGGAGAGAGGTGTTGCACACTGCTTACCCTGATTTATTCAGTGGTTTTATTTTCATTCTGAAATCATGCTATCAAATGGCAATAGACTGTTCCCTTCCACCCCCATGAAGTAATCATGCACCGTGTGATAGTACCCAGTGGGATTGTGTTTTCATTTATACAACATGACCATGTATGACTCATTCTGACAGTTCAAATCCTGAGAATTCTGAGGACACTACAAGAGGCATTTGTCTTCCTTCCCAGTCAGTGCTTCATACTTTTTCTTGGGATTCTTTCAAGCCTTGTAATTCTTTTTCCCCAAACCTACAAATAGGTTGATTCTCAAGATAAGTGTTATTTTCATTCCAGATGATAAGCAGAGTGTGCAGAGCACTTTATTCAGTGCATAGCTTTAAGCCAGTATTGGATTCACTGCATGGACAGCCAAACTCCCAGCTCTCTGCCATCCCTCAAGGGGTCATAGTAGGTTCACATTGCTACCACAGCTAAATAGACTCCTGGCTAATGGGATCCATCAGGGCCATTCTCCTGAGTGCCAGTATACTATCAGGGGACTCTGGAATTCGTCACTTGTGTGTAGAGTGGAAGGACCAATCACTTAGAATATTCCATAGACGGTTGGGGGGCCAAATTCTGCCCTTTGCTTTATGTACAACTTGTATAAAAGTCAAGTTAAAATTACATGAGTTTGGGGATAGGGTTAGTGGTTTGAGAAATGTTTGAACCAATCATGAATTACTTATGTATTATTAATTTCATATGGCCAGAATAGTGCTTGAAGTACATTACGTTATAAACTGCCTTCATTTGGGGCTCTTTTTCTTTGTGTTCAAGTTTAGTTTACAAACCCTTTTAAGTATGGAGTGGTTTATATAGGGTCAGGTGCTCCAAAGAATTGACTTTTAAGACCAGAAATGATCTAGGCTATTTAGACTACAGTATGAAACTTTCAAAGTTAGTTCACAGTCTAGAGGCACTTACTGGTCTGTGGTGTGATATGACCAATAGAAACACCTTGTTTTTTGCTTTGGGCCTCATTTTAGAAAAGTAATGTAGCTTTCCAGTTGTTTTGCATAGGTTAAGATTAATTTGCGTTCATTGAACATATGCCAAATCATGGTATCCCAGTGACTAGCACAATGCCTGGCACAGTTGGTGTATAGATACTTGTGTGAGTGAATGAGGGTTGTGCAGAAGCTCATTATATGGCACAGGGAAGCCAGCTGGCACAGGATTACATACATTACCACAAGCAAACTAATGAGTTGACGCTAATTTAATATATTTTTACCTCACACTAAGGTAATGCTTGATAAGGACCTTAATACTCGACTTTTAAAATGTTAGCACAGTGCTATGCACATAGTGGGTGCTCAATAATGTTGAATGGACAGATTTGCAATACTAGACTTCCATCTGACTACTCTGTTAAATTTTCAGTTAGAGCATAGACACTGTAAAATCCAAATACACATTAAATCTTGGTTTCCTAAAATGACATTTAAAATATTTGTAGAAAAGCTTTGTCACAACTGATTTGAATGTTTGTATTTTCTTTTGCTTCAATTTTGATATTGGCTTGTAATGTCTCTTTTCATCATATGTAATATTGGTGGAACATGCAACTCTACCCAAATCGTAAGAATTTCTCAATGATCGGTTGTCCAAAGCCATTACATGAACTGTTGGATTAGATTTGGCTGGGTGTGGCAGTTGTTGGACCTTAAGAAATCAAAGGACTTGTTAAAAGTATCTTCCAAAAGTAAATGCTAGAATCCTATTTAAGTGCATATGTACATTATCATAGAGCAAAGTAAACTGAAATTGGCTGCTATATTTTATATAATAATTTCTGCAAAAGCCCGTTTTTTGGATACTAATATTTGACATGATTAATTCTTATTAATTTGTTGGAATTGTTTATTGTTAATAATGCAAATAGATAATTTTTAATTATCCTTAAGTAACATTTCACTGTTAATGGTTTGAAATGGATGATAAGCAAACCAATTTGAAATAAAATATGAACATGTGCCATTGTATTATAACACTATACACTTTCTTGACAGTTAAATTTTTAAAAAAATGTTTTTTTTGTAGCATGTATTGTATATGTTTATAGTATATGTAGTAAATAAAAATATGGCCAAATGTTTGGCTTGGTGATCTTTTGAAGAAAGTAATCTTTGAATATTTTTCACAAAAGAGCTAAATCTTTTATGCTTAGGGAATAAGAGATAAAGAAACAATTATACACACTCTGTGGGTACTCATAAAAGATGGGATCAGTCATTGGTGTTACTCTGAAGAGTCTCCAGAAGTCATGAAATAATGATTTGAGGGGAATATAAGAAGAATGATTATGTAATGATTGGAAAGCTGGAATGATGTGGACAGATAACATCAAACTTGTCCAGAAATGGTTATATGTGGTTATAAAGAAAATATGGATGTGGTAGGGGCTTTGTAAAGCAGATGAGAAGTGTGGATGTTATACAATAGGTTTTTACAACGTTAGGGTAGATATTCAGTGTAATTCCTTCTTTTTTATGTAAGTAGCACTTTTTTCAGGGTAGATAATTTAGGAAATTTGAAAGAGTTAAACATTATGTTCTTCCCATCCTTTCTCAAAGCACATGTATATTTAGATGCATACACACAGTGTGTGAATATATATACCTAAAAGGTTGATTTTGTACTCCATAGTCTTATGTCCTGTGGGTAGTGAAGTTTTAAAATGAAATGGACAAGCTTTGCCAGTCATTTATAGAGTATTCTGCCTTGGACCCAAAACAAACATCTAGTTACTGCTGTATACATAGCAGAGTATCAACCCAGAGTTAAAGGAAACTCTTGCAAGGGGGCCATCTTTGCTGTACACACACTTAACAGCAAGGTGATTTAAGTATGTTTCCACTTTTTATCAATAAGAAGCTGCCAAATCTTGTGATAGGTTGAGTGTTGGGTTCCTTTATATAGCCTGGAGTGCTCATAACAGCTGTTAAATTTTGTGACCTTTATCTTCAGATTAAAGTCTATTCCTCTTACAGATGTGGAGAGAGAAGTGGCCCTGTCCACAGATGAGAATATGAAAATGGTCTTCCAGAGTTTGGCAGGAGGAAGCTAAGAATTTGGAACTCTGCTGCCACACATATCATGAAGAAAAAGAAATGGGGAGGTAAGGTAGGGGACCAAGAAGAGCTAGCTGTTAAGAAGTGACGTTCAAAAAGAACAGGGCTTAAGGATCCTCTAGGGATACAGGTTGAAGCGAGCTTAACTTGCCTCCCCCTCTGGCTTAAATGTCGCTTTCTCAGAGATGTCTTCCCTGAACCCCTAAATCCCGTTTATAATCATCACATCATTCACCTTCACAGAGCTCCTCTCAGATTGTAATTATTTCTGTGATCTCATTCCACCTCCTCTGTTAGACTGTCAGTCAGTTCCATCAGGGCAGGAGCCACATCTAATTTGTTCATTATTCTATCGCCAGAGCCCAGCACAGAGCTTGGCTCACAGTCGGCAATACATATTTGTTGATCAAATAACGTTTTCCTTAGCAGGGTTTGAGTCTGGGGAATAGGGACCCGACCTGTTACCTCTCAGCTGCTGTCCCCAGTATCCCTGGTCTTATGTATGCTCGAAGGCTGTAGGTTCGTTTTAATATTGGTCAGAATAACACCCATTTCCGAAGGTCTTTCTGTTGTAGAAACATGAAATGCTTGACAAAGCCTAGTCTCAAGTTCTCGTGCTTTCCTGTTCTTTCTTTTTCCATAGAAAAGGAGGTGACTGGATTATTTAGAGGGGAGCTATATTCATACAATGAAGATTATTCACTGGGTGGTATTTTAATTTCTAGTTTTGACAATATTTTCAAAAGGCTGAATTTCATTAACAGAAGTGTCAAGATTATGTCTAAATTATCTTGTTCTAAAATACCAGTTGTAATGGAAGTAGCTTAATATAGCCTAAACAATATTCAAAGTAGTTATTCCTTATCCTGTTGTCATTTAGGTCTTTCAATAACAGACCTCAGATGCAGCAACTCAAGAAAGCATCTAAGAGGGGCAGGTAAATTCTCTCTGTGCATTATGGTAAAGGGCATGAACCCATTCTAATGTGAAAGTAGGTAGGAAGTAAAGACAAAATTGGCCTGAGTCTGAGGCCCAAGTCCTTTTATGAGCCTTGTGAAATAACAAGAGAAAAGGAGAAAGCCAGATCCCATCCCATCCCCAAAAAAGAAGGTAACAAGAGGAAGTGGTTTATGTAACTTCTTTGGCCACATCTTTTCTCCCACTAGAATCAAGTTCTTCCTCTACTTTCACTTTTTCTTTTGAATAAGAAATTGCCCCAGTTTCTTATTATTTCCCTGAGGGGTTAGGTTTATGGCTGAACCAGCCAGTTGTTTCTTGTTCCTTAGCAAGCTCTGCCATTTGATCAAGGGCAGTCTTTTTTGTTGTCATGGCAACCACCATTTACATAAGCAAGAACTAGGGGAAAACATTTGTTTGGAATGATTTGTGGTAAATTTCATTGCAGTGGAAAGATAAAACACCAACTTGGTGGGCTAGCAGCTAGAATTGTGAACAACAGGATGAACTTTTCCGGTTCTTTTTAGTGAGATCTATTTGATAGGTATCACTTTTGGCTATCAAAAAAACTCTGATGTCTAGGAAAAAAGGAATACATGTAATCTTTAGTTCTGTCCTTGATCACATTTTCAATAGCAATTAGGATATGGTGTATGTGTGGGTGCCTGTTCTTCTAAAGCAGAGGTTATTGATCCAGAATCTTGATCCCTGGGGAATCCACAGATAGACTCATAAAGGGTGTGGCAGAGATAGCTCACTCAAAGCCATGTTCTTTTCTTCCTGTGCATCGTACATTTTCCAGGCTTCCTTGTATTACATATGACCATGTGATTGAGTTCAGCCAATGGACTGTGTACACAAGTGCCTGTACCACTTTCAGGCCTGGCCTATAGAAACCTATAGAAACAGGTGTTCCTCCATGCTCTTCCTTTCCATCAGGTGGGAATGGAGATGACACCCAGGGCAAATCCTTCATCCACAGAGAAGGGCCTCTTTGGCTTGGTGACTGGCTCAATTAGCAAGAAATAAACTTTTGTTCAACCATATGTTTTAAGGTCAAATAGTTACATTAGTTAGCCTGCTCCGACTAATACAAGGGAGTTGAATTGGATAGATGAGAGGTTGACCAACTGGCAGGTTGTTAGGACCACATGATGCCAAAGCTTTGTTGAAATCAATAAGATGCTTCAGGCACCTCAGATAAATAACTTTTTAGTGTATGTCCTATGTAATACCTGAAATTGAAATTTAACTGGGCATCCTGTATTTTTATTTGCTAAATCTGGCAGTTCTATCCCTGGTCTCCCCTTTAGAGAAATACTGCTGCAGGGCTGCTGCTCTTTCCTCCACGGGAACTGAATTCTTCTGAAGGAAAAACAATCCAAACTAGGACACCTAGGGCCAACCAGCTCACTCCGTAGCTCACATTCTTGTCATCTTTGCTAATTGCCCCAAGTGTAAATCCCCCTAGTCACCTCTCATTTTGTCACTGGCATCCTCAAGCTGTACTGGGTCTTCTCTTCTGTCCCCCATTTTTGTACGTTACTCCATCTTTGAAGCTTTTGCCAACCTGTTAGGCTCCCTGCCACTTTACTGTTGCCAATCAAATTTCTCCTCATTTATTAAAGATTTTTGACGTCTGGCTCACAGTGTTTCTTTTTGCCAAGGTCTGCTGTCTTCTGGGGTTACCCATCCATCACCTAGGTTTTCACTTTATTGACCACCTCAAATCCATTATCTTGTACTGTTATATCCCCGGAATCTTAAAACATCTTACTCCCTGACCACTACTTTCTAGCCTTCCAGTTCTCTCACTGTCTTCCCAAAGCCTTTGCTCTTCCATTTCAAGGCACCTTCTAGTTCCTAAACTCTTCAGCTCTCAGCCATCTACTATCCTTTTTTTTTCTAGTTAGATAATGAAGAAATACATAAAATATTGTCAGGTCTCAGATATATCCAACTGCCCACTGGACACCTTTTGGATATCTTGAAGGCACCTCAAACTCAGTATATTCCAAACTGGATTCATCATCCCTTCCCTTATCTGCCCCTCATACACATTCCCTATCTCGGTGTCTATCACCAATTGGCTAAGCCAAAAACCTGGGGACCATCTGTTATTCCTTCCTCTCGAGAGTTCATCACCCCATTTCTAGTCATTTACCAAGTCCTAACTCCTGAGCATCTAAAATCAGTTTACTTACCTCCATCCCCACTGCTGCTACCTTAGTTCAAACTGCCAATGTTTCTCATCTGGATCAGCTCAAAAGCCACCTGGGTGCCTTTAGTTTTGGTCCCTCCAATCCCTTTGTTATATTGCAGCCTTAGTGAGCTTTCTATAATTTATATTAGATTAGATTATATTCTCCTTCAGCAGATATCTAGACTCCCTGCAAAGGGATACAGAGCTCTTTATGTTCTAGTTCCTGCTCCTCTCTCCAGCCTCCCCTCTCGTCACTTTCTCTGCTGTACTCTGGGCTCTAGCCATACTGAGTTTGTATACTTTTTTACCTGACCCACCTGCTCACCCCTCCAGGCTTTCGTACAGTCTGTACCTCTGTCTGGCTCACCTTCGATTACTAGTCTTACCAGACACGCTGATTTGGGTTATGTATCTGTTCCATGTCCTCTCTTGGCAATATGTGCTTACAGTTGTCACACTGAACTGAAATTGCCTGTGCGTGTGTCTGTCACAAGACCAAGACTTCTCATTGTATTTCCAACACCCAGCTCTGCTTGACACACAGCAGATACCCAGGGTATGTATTTTGAACAAAAGAATGAAAAACAGGATAGGTGGGCTAGAGGTCATCAAAAGCCAAGTGGGAGCAGTGGGTAGTATTACTCCTAGGGACTTAAAGTTAGTGTCAGTTAGCTTTTGCTGCAAAATAAACCACATCAATACTTAATGGCTTAAAACAACCATCATTTATCTTAACAATTCTACAGCTTAGCAGTTTGGGTTGGGTTGGGTTCTGCTGGACAGTTCTTCTGGTCTGGTCTAGTCTCACTGATGTATCTGAGGTCAGCTTCTGGTTGGCTGGGGGCTGGCTGGTCTTGGATGG